CCGGCGGGTCTGAAATTTTGGACACGAACACAAACCCAACGGGTCTCGGAAATGGGTCGGGTAGACCCGACAAGTATGATATGAACAGCATTATAAATTTTGTGCAAATGACAACACATGTATATGAAATGTAAAGCAAAGTGAGCAAATTTAAAAGCAAAATATATATATTTCACTTATCAAAAAAATTCAAGTTTCTCATATAAAATTACTAGTCTTATCAAATAAAGTATTGGTTCTTATAGAGGCTCATAACTTCACACTTTGTGTCTCTTTCTCTCGCACAGAAAGCTGTAGATTATACTAGAAATTAGGTCATAAAAAGGTCTCTTTCTCGACTATTGAGAGTATAAAAAACATATTATATATGATAATGATATAATAATATTAATAATAATAAATATTGAGCTTTCCCTATCGAGCCTAATACACACTTTATCAGTATCAATAAATGGACAAAATGGGTATTAATTTTAGGTTATCTCACTATATTGATCAGTATCACTTATACAGTAGGTATGTATTAGTGTGTATCTTTTTAATTAAAAATTACAACTAATACACTTTATGTATTAGTGTATGCGTGTGTGTATAATAATAAGAAATTTTAAATGGGTCGGAATCATATGTACCATACCCGATCCGATTATTAAAAATGTTAACGGGTCCGGGTTTGGATGTGTGTAAACTGAATAAAATATAGACTCATACCCGTCAAAAACTATCGGGTCCGAGTCAGGCTCGAGTGTAGACCGACCCATTAAATTGATAGGCTCACATGCCTAGTCGTGAGTACTTAAGATATTTGTTTCATGCTCATAAAATATGAAGTCTTAAATTAATACTACCTCCTAATAATCTATAGTATTGGGACATTGATGTAATTTTCACATTCTCTATTTATTATATATAGACCACCAGGACACCCTATTAGGGTGAGCCATTATTCCATCTTATTCTCTCATATGGTATCAGCAGCCTAGGTTAACCTAGTATACACATCGTCTCTATCATCGATCGATTTTCCTCTCAATCGATGGCTTCTGCATTGGCGAATCCCACCACGACAGTCCCTACCTCTGCAATTTCTTCGTCTGTCACCACCATAGCAGCTCCAGAGCAGGGTTCGACTGAGTCGCCCTCTTTCTCAACGGCACCGTTGATGTCCTCGACGCCGACTGCTTCCTCCCTTCTGTCTTCACCAAACGTCATTCAGCAACGCTGTAACACCGTCCCCAAATGTATTTACTTTCAAGTAAATGATGTAATAAACCTTATGGAATGATTTACGAATTTACGAAGTTGTAAATTTTTATTAATTCTTTCGCGTGAATAGTAAATTGCACGTGGGGCCCACACCGGGAGCGGGGGCCGCCCGATTTTCCCGAGACCATATATTTTATTCATCTTGGTCTAGATAATAAATATATAGTGGTGGATATTTCATTTGGGCCCTGGAAAAGCCCAGAGTTGACCGATTGGTCAAAAGAGGCCCAAATTACCGGTACTGGTAATTTAATAGATAATAGCCCGAACTGGATTTCGGAGGCTTATAAATTAAAGATGAGGAATGTATATTCATTATAAATGTCTTAATGAGTAAGAGCACATAATATATTTTATTTGACCCAATAAAATAAAATATATTTAAAACAGTCCGAAAAAAATACAACTTTCGGGGCCGATTGTACACATCGGGACATAATGGGATGACCTCCCACAAGGGTGGGGGCCACCCCACGTTTTTGTGTGCTCAAAATAAACAAGGAGGTGGCTGAGTTGACAAAAGAAGGAGTGGAGGAGGTGCTTTTGGCATCTAAAGTACATGGAGGACCCCCCTCCCTCACTCATTTGTCAATTAAGACAAAAGTGAGACATCCCCTCTCCCTCAAACCATTGAGCTCGACCAAACCATCCAAGGGGGAGAGAAAGAGCTTCAAACTCACCTCCATTGCTGCAAATTTGAGCTCAAGCTTTAGTGCTCAAAGGAAGAAGATTAAAGAGGGAAAAAGTTGGGAAAAGTGTGAACAATTAAGGCACTTGTAAGGGGTATTTCAAGTGATTTCACAAAGTTGGAAAAGTCGCCGGAGTTGTCGCCGGAGTTGACCAAAAGTCGCCGGAGTTTCACCGGAGTTCAACCAAGAAGGGTAGAACTTCATAACGCTAGTTTCAAGGTTGAAGCTATTATGGATTGGGAGAGACCCAAGAATGTGAAAGAGATACGTAGTTTCCTTGGCTTAGCGGGATACTATCGTAAATTTGTTGAAAAATTCTCCGTATTGGCGTCTCCATTAACGAAGCTCACAAAGAAAGGGGCCAAGTTCATATGGGATGACAAGTGTGAGAAAGGGTTCCTTGAACTAAAGAAACGACTTACCGAAGCACCGGTCCTCGCCCTACCCATACAGGGGATAGGGTACGATATATACAGCGATGCTAGCATCCAAGGGCTTGGATGTGTACTGATGCAAAACGGTAAAGTGATTGCCTATGCTTCTAGGCAATTGAGGAAACACGAGGTGAACTACCCTACCCATGATCTAGAGTTGGGGGCGGTAGTGTTTGCACTAAAAATTTGGAGACATTATCTCTACGGGGAGACATGTCACATTTATACAGATCATAAGAGCTTGAAGTATGTATTCACTCAGAAAGAGTTGAATATGAGGCAGATGAGATGGATGGAGTTGATCAAAGACTATAACTTGATCATCGACTACCATCCCGGAAAGGCCAATGTAGTGGCCGACGCACTGAGCAGGAAGAGTACGTCAGGGACGCTACTCACATGTCTATAGGCGTTGAGGGCACGCGTGGAGGTGTCCACGTGCGGGGCTCTCATTGCTCGATTCGAGGTCAGGCCTACCCTATTGGGTGAGATTAGTCGAAGTCAGGCCATTGATGAGGAATGTCAGAAGATCCGTGAAAGGATCCTTGAGGGGCCCGTTGAGAATTTTCGGGTACGTGATGACGGTCTTTTACTGTTTAAAGATCGTGTGTGCATACCAAAGGATGAGGAGCTCCAGAAGTCTATACTTGAGGAGGCTCATTCTTCAGCATATGTTATGCATCCAGGAGGTACTAAGATGTACCGAGATTTGAAGGAAAGTTACTGGTGGTCAGGCATGAAGAGAGACATCGCAGAGTATGTGAGTCGATGCCTTACTTGTCAGCAAGTTAAGGCAGAGCATCAGCACCCGGCAGGGCTTTTGCAGCCACTCACCATCCCAGAGTGGAAGTGGGAGCACGTGACCATGGACTTCGTGGTGGGACTACCACGAACAGTGAACAATTATGACGCAGTATGGGTAGTAGTTGATAGGCTCACCAAGAGTGCACACTTTCTGCCTATCAACATTACTTATCCTCTTGAAAGATTGGCCAAGCTATACACGGAGGAGATTGTGAGATTGCATGGAGTCCCGATATCCATTGTCTCGGATAGGGACCCGCGGTTCAAATCCCGATTCTGGCCAAAGTTTCAAGCGTCCTTGGGCACTAAACTGAAGTTTAGCACAGCCTTTCACCCACAGACGGATGGACAGTCCGAGCGAGTGATACAAATTTTGGAAGACATGCTTAGGGCATGTGCTCTGGAGTTCCAAGGAAGTTGGGACAAGCATTTGGCTCTAGTGGAGTTTGCCTATAACAACAGTTATCAGGCGAGTATTGGCATGCCTCCATACGAGGCATTGTATGGGAGGAAATGCAGAACACCGTTGTGTTGGGACGAGGTTGGCGAGGCCAAACTCGAAGGGATAGAGCTGGTTGAGATCACCAAGGCCAAGGTAAGGATCATTCGGGATAGATTGAAGGCTGCTCAGGACCGACAGAAGAGTTATGCTGATAAACGGCGGAGACCGTTGGAGTTCGAAGTCGGTGATGAGGTCTTCCTAAGAATTTCTCCTTGGAAGGGCATCATTCGATTTGTATCGAGGGGAAAGCTTAACCCCCGATACATTGGTCCATTTGAGATCCTTGAAAGGATTGGAGCCGTGGCTTATCGTCTCAAGTTAACGCCGGAACTTGAGAAGATACATGATGTGTTTCATGTATCAATGCTCAAGAAGTACATACGGGATCCCTCTCACATTCTTGAGAAACCGCCAGTAGAGATCCGTGAGGATTTGCAATATGCGGTAGAGCCGGTGAAGATATATAGTAGGTCAACAAGTGAAGAAACTTAGGAATAAGGAGATTCCTATGGTAAAGGTTCTTTGGAGTAGTGATCGAGTCGAAGAAGAAACATGGGAGACCGAGGTCTCAATGAGGGAGCAATACCCGTTTCTTTTCGATTAGACACACGGATTTCGGGGACGAAATCCCAAATAAGGGGGGGTGAACTTGTAACACCGTCCCCAAATGTATTTAATTTCAAGTAAATGATGTAATAAACCTTATGGAATGATTTACGAATTTACGAAGTTGTAAATTTTTATTAATTCTTTCGCGTGAATAGTAAATTGCACGTGGGGCCCACACCGGGAGCGGGGGCCGCCCGATTTTCCCGAGACCATATATTTTATTCATCTTGGTCTAGATAATAAATATATAGTGGTGGATATTTCATTTGGGCCCTGGAAAAGCCCAGAGTTGACCGATTGGTCAAAAGAGGCCCAAATTACCGGTACTGGTAATTTAATAGATAATAGCCCGAACTGGATTTCGGAGGCTTATAAATTAAAGATGAGGAATGTATATTCATTATAAATGTCTTAATGAGTAAGAGCACATAATATATTTTATTTGACCCAATAAAATAAAATATATTTAAAACAGTCCGAAAAAAATACAACTTTCGGGGCCGATTGTACACATCGGGACATAATGGGATGACCTCCCACAAGGGTGGGGGCCACCCCACGTTTTTGTGTGCTCAAAATAAACAAGGAGGTGTCTGAGTTGACAAAAGAAGGAGTGGAGGAGGTGCTTTTGGCATCTAAAGTACATGGAGGACCCCCCTCCCTCACTCATTTGTCAATTAAGACAAAAGTGAGACATCCCCTCTCCCTCCAACCATTGAGCTCGACCAAACCATCCAAGGGGGAGAGAAAGAGCTTCAAACTCACCTCCATTGCTGCAAATTTGAGCTCAAGCTTTAGTGCTCAAAGGAAGAAGATTAAAGAGGGAAAAAGTTGGGAAAAGTGTGAACAATTAAGGTAATGACCTTATATTAACTTTTCCTTTATTTTTCTTCTACCATATGAAGTATATATCATATGAAGAACCTTTAGTATGGTTCCATATGTTATAAGTATGGATTCATGGGTTGGAAGGTGGTTCTACGTCCAAAAACGGACTTAGAAGCCAAAACGACCGGTTCACCGGAAAATAACCTTTTAGCGGTTAATATGAGTTTTATGATTATAAAACCTTGTTAGGCACTTGTAAGGGGTATTTCAAGTGATTTCACAAAGTTGGAAAAGTCGCCGGAGTTGTCGCCGGAGTTGACCAAAAGTCGCCGGAGTTTCACCGGAGTTCAACCAAGAAGGGTAGAACTTCATAACGCTAGTTTCAAGGTTGAAGCTATTATGGATTGGGAGAGACCCAAGAATGTGAAAGAGATACGTAGTTTCCTTGGCTTAGCGGGATACTATCGTAAATTTGTTGAAAAATTCTCCGTATTGGCGTCTCCATTAACGAAGCTCACAAAGAAAGGGGCCAAGTTCATATGGGATGACAAGTGTGAGAAAGGGTTCCTTGAACTAAAGAAACGACTTACCGAAGCACCGGTCCTCGCCCTACCCATACAGGGGATAGGGTACGATATATACAGCGATGCTAGCATCCAAGGGCTTGGATGTGTACTGATGCAAAACGGTAAAGTGATTGCCTATGCTTCTAGGCAATTGAGGAAACACGAGGTGAACTACCCTACCCATGATCTAGAGTTGGGGGCGGTAGTGTTTGCACTAAAAATTTGGAGACATTATCTCTACGGGGAGACATGTCACATTTATACAGATCATAAGAGCTTGAAGTATGTATTCACTCAGAAAGAGTTGAATATGAGGCAGATGAGATGGATGGAGTTGATCAAAGACTATGAGCTTGTGTAAATATTATTTCTTTTACTAATTAAAATTTTTAAATCTTCTAGCTTATTATATTTATCCTTCCTTTTTCATATTGAAATAGGTCTTCATGTGTTCAATTTATATACTATGTATATCACTCCCGCCAATTATCTAAATGGTTATAATGTGATCGTCGTCGTTAAAATTAAATCATCATTGTTTATTTTTTGTAACTTTTAACACGGTTAATAGTGTGATTTTGAAAACAGTAAAAATATACTTTTTGTACAAAAAACAGTACCTTTATAAGTGCAAATTAAAAGGTTTTGAAAATGTATACAAAAAGTATATAATTTTTATATCCTATATAAAATATATTTATCGTCTTTGTTGGACATTTATCGTCTGTAAAAGGAATTTTTCTGACTTTTAATTTTCTGTGGCCTATTTATTTGCAAGAAAAATTGTAAGGAAAAAGATTTTGAAAATGCGCACTCAGAGTACAATTTTTTATGTGTCTCAACATTCGCGAATTATATCCTACATCCGGATGTACGTGTACATCCGGTTATTTTGTAATTGTTAACAACTTTAAGCCTTTGCTCTCTCATCTTCCTTTTCGTTGGATCTTCGTTTCATCCTCTTTCCTCTTCCGCCGTCTTCCTCTTTTCCCATTTCTCGCTAGATCTTCGTTCCATTCTCTTTTCTTTTCTCTTCAGCCGCCATCTCCAATTCGTTCCTCTTTTCGTTGTCATTCCTGATTGTTACTTTTTAATTTTGTCTTTTTTATTTTTTATTTTTTCTTTATTTTTATTGGTAGTTGGTTGGTTTGACTTCCTTTTGTTTTGTCTTTTTCTTTACTTCTTTTCTGATTTGTTGTTTACTTCCTTTTCTTTATATATTAATTAATACTGAACACATTGAAAATGAGTTTTACTTTATACTCAAATGAGTAAAACGCCTAAAAAATGAACATACACAAATGAGTTTTTGAATTTTTGGATACTCATTTTGTAAGTTATGTATGTTCATTTAGTATCTCTGTTATGCTCATTTTTAAAATGTTTTAGCAATGCATATTTTAAAAGTCTCATATTACATTAGATTTATATAGGAGTTCATTATAGACACGAGACCACAAATCATGATCGATACTTAATTGCATATTCTAATACTCAATAATGGAGGTTTGATGCTCATTGAAAATGTCTTAACGCTCAACAAACAAAACTTACAATTGTCATATCAATGCTCATCTTGTAAGTTACATATGCTCATTTGTATAGGCCTTATGCTCATTAACAATTGATTAATGCTCATTTAACAAATATCATAATTTTCATCGATCTCAATAGAGGAGGTTTGATGTTCAATTGAAATGTCGTGTTGTTCAACTAACAAAGCAACTAACAAATTCATTAATGCTCATTTTGTAAGTTATGTATGCTCATCTGATACTGATCATATGCTCATTTTATAAATGTCATGTAAAAAATTCATATTTCAAAAGTATCATGATACTCAATATTATACTTTTAATACTCAACATAGTAAGTGTGATGCTCAGTAAAAGTTCATGAATGCTCATTTGACAGAACCCGTGATTTTTCATTTCAAAAGAAGAGGTTTGATGCTCAATGAAAATGTCGTGATGTTTAAGTAACAAATCTTACGATTTTCATATTAATGCGCATTTTGTAAATTGTATATGCTCATTTGATACTAATGTTATGTTCATTTGTAAAATGTCATATCAACGCATATTTTAAAAGTATCATATCACATTAAAGTTGTATATTGAAATTCATAGGAATTGTTTATACATAACATTTAACAAGTTTCTATAAAAGAAAAAATAACAAAAAAAAGTGAATTAGAAGATATGAAACAGAGACCATGATTCTCAATATTAGACTCCTGATACTCAACATAATAAGTCCGATGCTCATTAAGAGTTCGTTAATGCTCCCCATTTAACAGAAACTGTGATTTTCATCTCAAGGGAAGATGTTTGATGCTCAATGAAAGTGTCGTGATATTCAACTAACAAACCTGGCAATTTTCATATCAATGCGCGTTTGGTAAGTTTAATTTGCTTATGTGATACTTTTGAAATATGCATTAATATAACATTTTAAAAACCCGAACATATCATCAGTACCAAATAAGCATACATAACTTACAAAGTGCACATTGATATGAAAAGTGCAAGGTTTGTGAATCTAATGTAAAATAGTACTTTAAAGCAAATGCATTGATATGACATGTAGAAAATGAGCATAAGATCAGTACCGGACGAGCATTGAAACACTTTCGATGAGCATCATGCTTATTTGGTTGAGTATTAGGAACTTAACAATGTGAATCTAATGCCATATGCAACTTTTAAAAGTTGCATGAGTATGAGATTTTAAAAATGAGCATAATATGAGTGCAAATTGAACACATGTAACTTACAAAATAAGTATTGATATGAAAATCATAATCTATATTATATAGTAAAACAGAAAAGTGTGAGGGGAGTTTGGGAGGGAATTTGGGCGGGAAGTGTGAACAAAAACAATTAGAACGGGTTGGAGTTAGAGCACCGTAGCAATTTGAGAAATGTGAATAGTCACAAAAAATTAATTGAAATTTTTAAGGTGAATGTCTAGCTGCAGCCTGCGTACCATTCCATTAATGATGAAACAAGTTTTGAGGTGCCTTTTGGTATACTCCGTATACAAATGCGTACGTATCATTGGAGAAAATTAATAAAAACAATTAATAATCCATGATGTATTAAATGTTATTAGTTCCCCTCATTGATAAATTCCGCTCATTTGTTTGGCTGACCAAAAATGGGAATTTAAAATTCCAAATCAAACATTTTCATCGTAAAAGGGTGGACTGGTGGAGTATAATTATTTAAGCACCTCTGTCTTTTGAGTTCATCAAGAATACAATCAATAAGATCTAAAGATAAAGATTAATTAATGGGTATATTTTTTGTCCCGAACATGTAGTATATATAGGTCCTGCTCGCGAGGAAAGAAAGTAAACCAAGATTTTTACTGTTTGCAACATGAGAGCAGGTTCTCCAAAAAAATCCTTGGGAACAATAAAAGAGTACTTCCACATCAGTTTTACGGTAACGTAATACAATTGCTGTTTTAATATTTTTTTTTGTCTTGCTTACAAGTTTATTCTCAAGTCAAAGTACTAAGCTCATGTGTTTTGTTGTACACAACTATAGATGTCACCTACGTTTGGGATGATTAGAGATGTAACTCCTCAAGCAACACATTGGGCTTTAAGTGTACTACTCACAGTGTGATGAAGGCGAAATTAGAAGCATAGCTTGAATGCATATTTTCATGATAGAGAGGTACATATATACTATGTATACATGATACTCCGTGTTTGTTGTCAATTTTTTGTGTTAGGTAAGCAGCTTTCAATTTTCTCATTAGAAGGATGCACTTGAAGAAAATTGTTGGTATCCTTTTCAGAATATTATTGTTGCAACGGATGAAAATAGTGCAAGACAGCGACCAGCAAGTATATGATCATCTTCTTTAGTTTCCAAAGACATGAACATGTATTAGTAACGTGTATTAGTGTATACAATTGAACCATAAAGGAAATCAATAAAAAATTATTGATGATAAACTAAGAGCTGTTTCACAAGTTATTTCACTGTTCTGAGATAAAAACAACTTCCCCCAAACAACGATTCTATGCAAATAAAAAATATCTTTCAAAATTGTGACCAATATGGGATATTCAAAGTGTGAACCAAATAGACTGATGTTTGCAAAATAGATTTTGGGTTCCGACGGAAAATTTTACAGGGGAGGATGTTCTATATGACTTCTATTGGAAGGCCGAATCAAAGTTGACCTTCAATAATCTGGGAAGAGACTATCAGACTTAAGGAGTGTTTGGGTTTGCTTAAAAAAAGCGTTTTTAAGCTTTTGGCTTAAAAAAGTTGAAAAGAGTGTTTTCAAATGACAGCGTCTGCTTAAATTAATCACTTAAAAGCTAAAAGTTGGAAGCAGGTAGAGGGGTGCTTTAAACTGCTTTTCACTTTTTCTATTACACAAAAAGTACTTATTTTATCAAACACTACCACCTTTTACTTTTTCAGAATCACTTTTTTCTCAAACATTACCAACTTTTACTATTAATCACTTTTCTCAAATTCACTTTAAAAAATCACTTTTTTAAAGTTGAAGCAATTGCAAACACTCCCTTAAAAGTTTTGGAGCTCTAATCTGGTAGATATAATCCGGAGGATGAAGGCTTTTGTAAATGAGCTTCGGTGGATTGGCGGGGTCTGCTAAAGAGGCATGGAATGATTTGAGGGTAATTGAGAGCGTATTAAGTTGTGCTATCTCAAGTGCTATTTAGTCTAACGTTTTCAACTTAACAGGTGTTAGCATATCACATTTTTATCTTTAAAATTTTGTCTTAGGTTGGGCAGTAGAATTTCCAGCATTTCCAACCTCATTATTGTATACGTACGTAGTGGAGTATTAGATTGTTATGCATCTTATTTATTTTGATATTTGCTCTAAACTGTTTTTTTGCTCTGTGGGGACAGTATTGATTTTTTCTTAGATATACAGAGTAATACATATTGACCAGTCCGAGGGGATTATAGACTGAAAATAAAGTTTATGATTCAACTTTTTTGGTTCATTAAACATCTTCACTTTTTCACCTATAAAATTAATCTCACAATTAAAATTATTTTTTCATAAAATTCATATTGTAGCTTGGAAAATTCTGCTCCCTCCGTTACGCTCTACGGATTAGGGATGAGCAAATAACCGACGAAATCAATAAAATCGAAAACCGATACACGAACCGACTGAAAAAGTTGGTTATCGGTCGATCATCGGTTATTACATATAAAAAAAATCGATTATTCAGTTATTCGGTTATCGGTCGGTTAACAGAAAACCAAATTAGTATAGTCTACTTCATATTAATGTTTGTATGTACTTCATGTATGGTATGATGTTTCACTTAATAACATATCATAATTACTCTAAGAAATAATGTCAATATATGATCGGCATGAATATTGTGGATACAAATGTCTAATTTTCATACTAAAATGACTATAATTATAATTTAATGTGCATGATTGTGTTCAAATCTATATTATAGTAATCATAAATGGAATATATATACTCATGTTAACTTAAGTCATATTTTA